TATTATTTTTGTAAATTTTAGATATAACACGATGTGGTATTTAGCTCCGTTATCGATACAAAAATTGCTTTTATTTGTGATGCAAAATTCTCTGAAAACTTACACCATAACAATTGGGCATATTTATGTATCATCTCTAGAAGGATTTTCTACGGTAATGAATACTTTCTAGTTAACAGTAAACTAATTTTCTAGGAAAAGAATTTATCTTATCCTTTTTTCTCCTAGAGAATGAATTTATTATATTTAATACGTATTTAAAATGATAATATTCTGTCATAACAGTCTATGTAACAATCAAGACTTAACGATTACTAACAATATAAAAATTAATATTTTTTTTAGCTTTCAACTACAGCAATATCATACTTTACTGTAATGTATACCATGACGATGTCATAACATACAAAAGATTTTAATTGGTTATAGAAATTTGAATGTAGTGGTGTACTCGCACATATTACAAATTTAAGACTTCTAGGTATGTAATTATTTGCTTAAATAAACAGCTGCTTAAACACATAGACATCATATTATAAAATTTGAACATATCATGAACATTAGCGTTACTAATAGTAAAAATAATTTTGACTTCTAGCACATCCTGACATATATTACATGCAAATCGGAAATCATATATCAATAATAAGCAATAATGTAATTTTTTTAACAGAACACGGAATATAAATAAAATTTATTAAAATATATTTTATGTTATACAAATGTTTTCACGAACATTTCCAACATAGAGCTAACTAAAAGTAATTAAACCTGACTCTTTTTATGTATAAAAGATATGTATAATTATTTATATATGTATATGTATATAATTACATATGTATATACAGGATATCTGGTAGTTATTAATACAATACTCGTGGATAGAACAAATCTAAGTAGAAAAGTCCTATATCATTTTATGATTTTTGCACTAGTTGACGAGAAATTAATTTAGTAAGATCTGAATCAACATGCGTCTGCGCGATTTGATAACAAGCGACAGCCCAACGTTTACGGTCACTAAACGCGTGATAAGACTTACAATTAGCAGAAGCGCTCGGTAAACAGCAATGGGCGTGTTCAGCAGACAAAACAAATTGGTGAGCGATTTTTTATTACAATAAATTATAATTATAATTGGTTTCTACACTTAGATCTAACGAAGAACTAAAGGCAAGAACCAATCATATTAATGAATCACTGAGTGCTCATTGATCTGCTCTAATCGCGCCCAATGATACGCGCTCGTGCATAAACATTGTTTTCAATAAAGCCTCCTCTTATTGCTATGTCGCTTACCTAAAAATCGTAAATGTTGAATTGTCGCCTGTTGCCAAAATCGCATGCTGAGAGGTTCGCAGATTTTAACAAATTAATTTTTTGTTATCTGTTGTGAAAATCGCAAAATGTACAGAACTTTTCTATTTAGTTCAGCCCGCTCTACTTATCCACGAGCGTTGTGCCAATAATTATCAAATATGTATATGTATATATATAATAATTTAGTATCTTGTATTTAATTTCAACGTAAGCATACAAAATAACACATCAAATTCTATTATATAATGTTTTATATCGATGAATATACTTCCTTGCTTCAAAATAAATTACTCTCTCATAGAATAAACACTATTAAACATCAAAGAAGCAGCTGTAACCCAATTTCTTGAGTTAAATAACATTTCATTATTTTCAACTTCTATGTGTGTCAAAATGTATTATTTTAACAGAAAACAACCATATCTAATTAATCCATTTCTGCGGTTGAGTTGCTTCATTTTAATTATGCATTTAGTAAACATAAACTAAATTTGAGTCAAATTTAACACATTTCTTGAATTAAATTATTTAACGCCATTATTGTAGTTAAATTAATGACATATTGTGTAGAAGCAGTGGCTACTCGTAGGAATGATTAAAAATAACTCAACTCATAACTTGAGTATACTTTGACATTATGAATTTAACAGTGTACAACGCTAGCTGCGCTTGTGCGTCTACAACCTACATTATTAAAAGAAAAGAAAACGAAAGATACGATTTTCTTCAAATATTCATCAATTCGGCGAAACGTTTTGAACACAATTGTTTAATGAAACTATAGCACTTTATATAATTTATCGCGTCATTATAATAAATTACTAAATTACATAGCATTATCTCGCTATAGGTTTTGCGTGCAAATAAAAATTTTATAGAAAGAGAAACCTTCAGTATTTGATGTAAAAAAGACGATTGTTTTCCGCACTTGCTCTCTGTTAACAAAACTGTTTCATTCGTCAGGCAGTATGGTCTTTATCGGCGAACGTTATTATAATTTACATAGAATTATGCTAACGGTCATTGGTTTGTGGCCTTATCAAAAAACGAGTATTTCACGAATTCTAACAGCTTTGGTCTTAAGTGTATTAGTTTGCCTTTTGTTTTTTCAGGTATTTCTTAATTTACTTTATTTTGCACCTTTTTTCAAATAAGATGAAGATTATCGCTGCCATTAATATATACTTTTCAGTTAACGCTATTTATGACGACAAAGTACGATGTGGAATTTATTATTAAAGAACTTACATCTATTATACCTGCTGTTATTTATATTTTGATTTATAATTGTTTTTACTTCAACAATAAGATTGCAAGTATCGCTCATACTTTACGTAAATCTTTAATAAAAATGTCAGTTGATTAATGAACGAATAACGAATTAATTAATTCAATGTTTTATACAAATAGCTTAAAAAAGCATTGGAACATATCAAGTTGGACTGGAAGACGATAAAAGATAGTAATGAATTGAAAATATTAGAGAAATATTCACATATGAGTTATCTTTTTGCATTATTTGTGAACAGTAAGAGAATTGCAAATAAACTTCTGTCATCTTACATATATCTCAAATACATTCACTCTGTTTAAAAAAAAAAATGTTCTATTATTGTTGCTATTTCCAGTTTCAATTAGTTTCGGTATGATTGTTTTTATAATTACCGAATTTTTACCTATTATTCTTGACTCTGTCGCACCGTTGAATGAGTCTCGACCACGTAGTTTGGTGGTACGTTATGAACTCTTCATTGACGAAGAGCAGTATTATCCTTTGTATGTAATATTTGAGATTTTAACGGTGACGGTTGGAATTTGGTCATTTACAAGTTGTACATTTCTCGTTATGATTGGGGGACATTGTTGCGCAACATTTAAAATTGCAAGGTGAAGACATGTAATAATTTTATTAATAAAAATATTTTTAATTGATTTTGTAAAATATATATATATTCCGTTTGCAGCAATTTAATTCAAAATACTGTGACTGAAAATACGTTGCAAATTCCTGCTCCTTATAGAATTTATTTCATGTATCAAAATATTTGTCGTGCAGTTCACATCCATAGAAGAACTATACAGTTAGGTTCTGTAAAAGTCATAATGTGATTATTGTTATTATATGTATAAATTTTATTCGAATAAGTAAGGTATTGTTTATAAAAACTGTAAATTTTACATGTAATACATACAAAATTACTTAACAAATTTTTTGTTATTGTTAAAGGGTTTTAAGGAATGTATTAAATTCATTAAATGTATGGTTTCTACCTTTGATTGTACTTGGCGTTGTGTCTTTAAGCTGCGTTATTTTTCGAGTAAGTAATTTATAACAAATTTTTTATCTATCTTTTGTTTATTTAAATTTATGTTATTAATTAAAGCGTCACATATATATTAGGACATTTTATAAAGTATATTTATAATACATCTAATAAATTTTATAAAGTATTATTTATATAATAATATATCTACTCTCTCTCTCTCTCTCTCTCTCTCTCTCTCTCTCTCTCTCTCTCTCTCCCTCTCCCGTCTCTCTTCGAGAAGAGGTGGCAGCAGTTATTTGTTTCACATACAAAAAAGAGC